ATTTGTGTGTGTGTGGTAGAAGTATCGGTTTTTGTACTCGGTATCGGCAAGTACTCAGATCCAAGTATCGGTATCGTATCGGTTTGAAAAAATTGGTATCGTTGCATCCCTACCCTCAATATATTCTAGTTTGAAACAACAATATATTTTAGTGGCTGATATTTAACTGATAACGCCAAATGGTACAAAGTTTAGAAGGAAAATAACAAAAATGCCTCAAACAATCTAAATGCTAGACCACTTGGCTCCATACCTTCTTTAGTGACACAATGGATGCTGCTTGTTTTTCATTAGCAGAAGTCAGTTTCTTGTTTATTCTCATGGCTTCATCAACTGGAAAATTGACACATAGTACAGCATGAAACATACACAGCTTATACATGAGGGCAAACAGGAAGGATCCCCATCTAAATCACAAATTAAATGAAAAAAACTAAACAACAGGACACAAGATGAAATGGATTTCCCGTTGCAGTTTGTTTACCACTAATTGTAACAGACACTAAAATAATCCCAATCTTTGGCTAAAAAATGCCTTAAAGGTCAGTTTAAGAACACACGTCTCATTAAACATGACTACATCTGGGCTTCATTGACAAAAACTCTACCTTTAGCTGACAGCAAAAAGAGGAACGTATGTTAGATAAGTAGACAGCAAGGTTAAAAAGTTAAAGAGCAGGAAAATAATGTGATGGATCAATCCTGCCTGGTGTCAGCAGGACAGGCTGCCTGGTGTTGGTGGTGTGGGAATATTTTCTTGGCTCACATAAAGCCTCTAGATAGCAACCCAGTGCTAAACTAAACCTCACTGCTGACCTGGGAGATGTCTTCATAGTTTACTCTTATCAAAGTGTTCCTAGAGGAGCATTTAAAGAAACATGACAGTGACCTTTGCGCATTACCCAGATCTTGACCCCAAAACAAAGACGAGGATAAAGTGAAATGAATGATGTGAAGGAAGATTTTCTCAGGAATGAATGTGCTGTTGAGCAGAGACATACTACTGTATCACGTCACGATGTACCAGGATCTCTGTGAACTGTTTCTAGCACCTTATTATATTTATAACCGAGAGAATTCAGGCTATACTGGGAACAAACCAGAACCTCTTCTGCTGAAAACAACCTAATAACACTCAGTAATACAAACTGAAGCGGCCCATATGTGAAATGCGTGATCTGATTTGTGCATATAATTGTTTGCATGGGATCATTAGTAAGCCTAGAGTGATCAACATCCAGATATATATATATATATCTCTGTCTTTCTGTATCTATTACCGTTCTGCTCCAGGTCGTCATGGGCCCGCTTGACCATGGCACACTGCCTGGACAAGGCACTGAATCTTTTCTCCACCTCTCCCAGTTGGCTCAGGTGGCCGTCCTTTGTCCGGCTCTGTAAGGCCAGTTTCTGTTCCTGTGGAGGGGCCACAGTTAAAACAGACAAGAAGAAATATGTTGAGGAGGACACAGATCCCAGGACTGTTTGTATATGACTGAGGATGGTTCTACATGTGACTGACATGTCTCTAACCTATGAGGGCCCTCGGTTTCTCAGTTTGATCCGCCCCTCACTTGTTATTTCTGGTTTCAAATGATAAACGGTGACAGCAAAACTCCTCAGACTTTAAAGCCACCACCACCTGCCTGTCCCCAGCTTCTCTCCCCTCCCCCTTAAAAGTAAATTGGTCAATCAGATATGCCCATATGCAGATCTGTTTTACTTTTGTAGGGGTCAGACTAGCTATTTCACCCTGACTCCAGTTCTTCCTTTGCCCATTTTTTAACCACTTATACACCTTGGGGGCTTAAGAGAAAGACTTATCAAGTCGCCAGTTTATCACAGGGCAATACAGACACAGGTGACACACTTTCACATCCAACAGCTAAATAAGAAACACCAGTTAACGTAGCATGCAGGTCTTTGGACTGTGAGAGGAAACTAGAGCTTCTGGATGAAACAGGGAGAACAAACAAACTCATCACAGAACGACTACAGCCCACCAGGAGGTTCAAATCCAGAACTGACCATCTATTCACCACCACGCTGCCCCTTTATTACCAGCTTGTAGCAGATTGATGGCTGTGGCTCAGCAAAAGGAGCTAGCTTATTTTGCAAAATAAAGACATACGACAGTGGAAACAGCTGTCAAGTAAAGTGAGGATCACGCTTTGACAGAGTTAGTGTCTGCCTCTTTCAGTGAAATGTAAGAATCGAGTGGGCTCACGCCTCAGAGCGCTTTATCGCTCTTCAAACTGCCATTACAGTTTGATTGTGTGTATCAAGCTGAGCAGATTCTTTCCTTCTCCCGTTTTCTCACTCACTCCCTTCTCTTTCATTCTCACTCCCTTCAGTCAATCTGTCCGACTCTCCTTTTCGCCAGATCTCTACAACTCCCTCTCACTCTGCTGAGCCACCGTCATGCAAAGAAGGTTAAACTGAGCGAGGCCCAGTTATAAAATATTTTAATAGAGATATTTTCTCTGCTGTGTTGGCAGTTCAAAGTGTCACACACTCCCTATCCGTTACTCCTGATGAGCTCTCCCCTCTAAACCCATCCCTCCTTAGCACCATTCCCTTATCCTCCTCTTTTAATTTTACTCCCCTCCCACCAACCTTCTGTCAACAGTTTGTATAAATGGAAAAATCCTTCCTTACCAGCTCACTTGATTTCTTCTCCAAGTTGTACTTCAGCAACTGTGTGACAGAAGTAAAAGAAAATCAGCGAGCCTGTTTTTGGCGGCTTCCAGAAAATAGAAATAAGTGATGCTACAATCGTACATGACAGTTTTCAACACATCTGGAATCAAGATGGCACATTTTTAATAACAGCAGCAACTGAGTGAAATTTAAAGCAAGTCTTGCTTTTTCCAAAGTTTAAAAAAAACCCTTCACATTTCAGCTTTGAAGCCTGTGTTGCAAAGACTTCCTTAACATGTTCAAATAAAAAAAAAGCAACATAAAATATATTTAAAAAGAAATCTTTCCCCCCTCACACACACAATGACTAAAAGATATAATTTCTTGTATGGATTTAGAAAAAAGTTAGATATACAGTTCGTGGGTCTAAAAATAAATTTTATAGACTGTGGTCCCCCTTTCTGGACTTCTTTGAAAGTCGGGCCCCCGTCTTGTTTTTTTTCTTTTCTTTTATGTTTGTTGTTTTTTGCTTTTGTTTGTTTTTTTCTGTTTGTTTTTTGTTTAGTTGGGCAGCAAGCTGCCAATTATTTGTTGTTTTAAGGGTTAGGGTGGGAACAAGATTGAAATTTTGGAATATTCTGAAGCATTTTGTGTTATTGTATACATTGTATTGGAACCTTTGTCTAATAAAAAAGACCTTTGAAAGAAAGAAAAAGAAATCATTTGAATCTACAATCTTTTAAAAATGCAAAAATTCTACCAAATAAAGATCATGTAATGTGACAGAAAGCCCCATCTCAACATACGCTTTTGTTTCAGTACTGTAACTCTCTCTGCATCTGCATGTCCAAATGTTTTGTTTTGCCATCATGTCATGCAGACATCTCACTTTCAAATACACTGTCTTTACGGGCTCTGTGATTAAGTCCCTCCACGTTTATAGATTTTTGGCATAGATTATTACACAATGAACGCCTCGCTGACGGGACTCAAAGAGGCCGTCACACCCTGGATAGGGCCACCAGATGTTTTCTCATTTTGCCAAATTGTTGTAGTTTTTTTGGCTTCTTTAAACTGTATACTTACTTCCACCTACAAACAAAACACTGACTTTGTCCAAATTACGTCTTAGACCAGGAGAAAATACAGTTTCCTTTTTTATTCTTAACATATAAAATGTAAACAACAACAAAATATTTTGCCCCAAAATACAGAAAAAAATAGTCCCAAAGGTAAAGTTTGGGGGCAATAATACCCCATTTATCATTTGCATGAATTTAAACATTACTATGAATATGAAAATCTTTTTCCAACAAAAATAAAAAAACCGGGGGAAGAAACCTTTTATATTTCACATTACTTGAACTATACAACACCAGTGGTGTGCAGATAAGTCAAGGTACATGGCAATTAAATCACTTCAGTGCCACCTGTCACTTGTGTGATAATGTGTTAAATTAAAGAATCCACCAGACCGTGTCACAAGATTGAACACAAACGGGCTTCATTTTATCCAAACACAGCAGTCAGAGTCTCCCAGATAGAATATCAAAAACAGTCTCTATTGTCTCTGTAACACGGCTGGGTTGTTAAAGAGCGTTGGACCGTGAGTACGATCGTTTATCACCTCTGTGGTGTCAAGTCTGAAGATGAGCAGAGGGGAGCCAGAGCGGGCCAGAACCCCGCACCCTTGACTCTGATCGAGCATGCCTTTTCTTTATTTACTTGTCTCTCTGAACAGTTTAACGATTAAACTGTGCTATCTTGCTTATTTTTAATAAAGAAGGGATAAAAGGTGCTGCTGGTGTGCATGTTACAATAAAACAGAGATAGAGAAGAAAGAATGTTAAACATCTCAGTACCTGCAGTGACTTCAGCTCTTCCTTTAAGTTGTTAATCTCCTTGTCTTTTAACTCAGCAGTGACCTGATATTTCCCCTGAAATGTTAAATTCATTTTGAGTGTCAAAAAAGCAATAAAAGCCCAAAGCACAGCACAAAAGAATTCACTCCGAGGGCCAAAACTGTGCAACTGAGATGAGTAAATTTACTTCTCCTCTAAAGACATTAATTGAATAAAATGCTCTATCGTGGGATGTTTGGGGGAATAAGAGTTCTGTACCTTTTCCTCCTCTGTGCTTCTTAATTTGGCCTGAAACTTGAGAAAAGATAATAAATTATTTAGAAAGGTTTTAATACATTGTTAAAAGTCTTGTTTAGAAATGAAAATGGAGGAATAAAAACCACACCTGTTTCTTAAGATTTGTGAGAGACTCGGTGTGTTGCTTTGTCACCGATTCAATTCGATGCTGTAGGGATTCCTGCAAATGAAAGGGAAGACGGAAGAAAGTTACTGATAATCTCATCTATTCTTTGATATTACTTGTTAAATAAAATCCGCTGTACCTTCTCCCATTCCATCTCCTGCTTCTCCAACACCAGCTTACTGATCTGATCCTCAAAGCGGGTTTCTGCATCCTAAACCAAAAAAACTGACTCTCAGGCATCGGTAAGTTCACAATTAGACAAACAACCAGGAAACACCTGATAAGAACATTTAAACGGGACACCTGTGACTAAGAAGGTGTGATTCAGTCTGAAAATCTTCATCTTTTTCACTCTGTGGGCCAGTGGAGTTGAGCCAAAACTGCAAAGTGCTTTAAGTTTCTTTGGTTCAGTCCTGCGTATCTTTTGTGGAAGCAGTCAGCGACGGGGGAACATTAGAAGGGAGGTGATATTTGTGGAAAACCATCCCTATCCTCCCTCTTCTCTTGGAGAAGGCAGGTAAAAGTCAAGTGCTCACTATATCCAGGGGACTTTTTTATGTGCACGTGGGAGCCGGTTAACTCAGCGAGCTTATTTTATAAGTTCCTATTAAAGTATGCTACCAGCGTGGCACAAAAAAAAAGAAAAAAGGAGTACACAGGAGATAAAGCTGTTATTTTTCCACCAGGGAATAATTGCCGTGTGTATGTGTGAGTGCATGTGTTAAATGCACAGCAAAGCCTTTCTAAAATCAGTAATCCATGTAAATTAAAACAGGTAACTGTGTATCAAGAGAAGGCCGAAAAGCCATGTTGCACAATCTCATCTATGGCTTTTCATCTTTTTACCATTTTTACTGCTGTTCTGAATGGTCACCTTTTATTGGGCGTTAAAAAACAAAAAATGGCATTTGGAAGTTTGTTGGAAAAAAAATTTGAGTTGGAAAAAGTTGGACACTGTTTCCAGATCACACTAAATCTCATATCACATGCATTTCATCTCGCAGTTCTTCCCCATTTATGACTCATCTTCACCAACTAAAGCAGCTGGTTACACCGCTTTAAAAAAAAAAGAAAGTGCTGGAATTTGACCTGCTCAGGAATGTCCGGCTCCATCATGACATCCTCTTGCCTCTTAACCTTCCCACCCCCGTGAACGACACAACTACAAAGTGCTACTTTGATAACGGCAGTGCCTGAGGAGGAACAGACTGATATATCATCTAATGTCTGTGTCTGAGTTAACATGACTATAACAATAAAAGCTCAACGACCAACATCCCATTTTTGCTCCTCTAACCTTTAAGCACACTCGGATTTAAAGTACTTGCTGGAGGGGAGAAAGCTTTAGTCTTTTTGTTAGTTCTTTACAAATAAATTGACTTTGTGCTCATTGGTTAAGGGCTAATAGGCTTATATGACCCCCTCCCCTCTTTCTTGACATAATGTGCATCATATCCAGCAGGGTTAAATCCACGTAGCCAAAGGGGCACTTGGCTTTCTCTATGGATGCTCTAATACCAACATAACCAATATTTTGTGAAATTACGCTGCTCTTCAGCCAAACAGAGTCATTAGTGTCTCAGTTCTACTCAGGAAATGGTGATATAATACAGAGGAATAGAGGAAGTGAGCAATACTAGAGACAATACACATAACAAGGCACCTCAAAGTTCAAACAGCTCTCATGTCAGCCAATTCCGAACCTAAACGAGCACAGCGTAATTCCCAGAAAGCCGCTGCTAATAATGACCAGTGTTGACACAGAGCATGTGCTCACGCATCTGCTTATAAATCTTTGCTTTTAGTATTGTTTGAAATTATGCGTAAGTCAGTATCGTGTATCATTCTAGTACCAACCAGCTCAGATATTATTTAAATAAAGTAGCTTCACTGCACTAATTTGGTAAATTAATATGAAATGTTCTGCTAATTTATGTGATCAGTATTTAAAGTATGGATGAACCTTGCTTGGAGCTGGTAGATTTTTTAAAGTTAGGAATCAGTGAACTCTGTCGCTAAGCTGCTGTTAATTACTGCTAATACTAGAAGACGGAGAAAGGGATCAAGGCATGACACTCAACGCAGTACCACCACTACCCACGAAAGGGCTACATTGGATCACTGGTCTATTATACTTGTTACAGTTTTTTTTTTTAAGTACTTACGTCTTTTACCACCATGGAGAAACAGAAAAATGCCACCAGAGCCATGACACAGGATGTGATTTTGATTATGAAATTAAAATAAAGTGAACTATAAGGAGATGGTACCCTAATGCCTTCACAGTGACACTGGTTACAACTTTACCCTCCGAATATGCAGCTCCTGTACAGCTTCGAGCAGATTGGTTTTGAATTCCAGCAGCTGAAGTAAGATGTTCCCCCCACTCTCCGTCTGACAGTGTGAGCTGGAAAGATTCAGCTCATGTTCCAACACATCTTCTCCAAACTGAAAAAGAAGATCGAAATCTCAAACAAAGCTAAGATTGAAACAATATCATTCATGTAAAATGTATTTTAATCTCATCAAAACAAACCAGCTGATGGATGTTATTTGCTTTGCCTTGCACTGTCAAAATTAGTAACTTACAGTGGTGTGGGTGGGAAGTGTCTCAGACTCTGTGCTAACATCCATCGAGTCGTTTCAGGGCAGCCAAAGGTCCCACCGGGCCTCTTCTGCCTGATAATCCAGCGGGGTGGGAGTGGGGCGCATTTTGTTGGAAAGGTTAATAGAATAGACGGTTTAATAAGCAGTAACATCTCTGCCTTTCCACTTATGAGCTTACAGGCTTATAATTACTTCCTCATCTGCAATTTTTACCCCTAAATGATTTTAGTAGAAATAATAGAGAAGAACATTAAGGCCTCGTAATGCTTCTCAATCACTGCAGTCTGACCTAATGGCTTTGAAATGACTGTTAGGGCTTTTTTCTTTCTTTGTTTTACACCGCTTCCATTGCGATGAGAAGATAACACCTCGATAAGCCATCCAGGTTCAAATGAACCAGCCCATCGACACTAATAGGGGTCAGAGCAATAACACTGAATGGACAAATTGCGCTGTCAATGCTTTTTAAATTACCTGGGTTATTTAATTTGACCTGTGGATAGTCCTCTGCAACTGTCCCTTCAACATAACCAAGAAACTGAGTGACACACACAGACACACACTGCAAGCACACACCTACTGAAAATATAACTATTTAAGTGGGAGGTCTCCACTAGCCAATGATCTCTTAATAGAACGGACCTTTTTTCTCCCATTTAACCTGCGCTAGTATCAATCATGTTGGAGAATTAAATGATCCCTGCTAGAATTGGCTACTATCATAAACTGACACTGTGACCCCCGGCTGAGCAGGGAGGGGATTTGTGCAAGCGTGCGTTAGTGTGTCGCTCTCCTGGCGCACTATGTGCACAGCCTGAGTGTGTATGTGTGAATGTGGCAGGAGGGGAGGAAACTGCAGTGTCTTTATTTGCTTTTCCTAGGATTTAGTTGAGCAGGTATTAACTACCACCTCCAAGCCATGAAGGGACAAATTAAAAGAAGTGCCGTAGCCATTAAAATGGAACATTTCTGTCAAGTAACATGAAGTTTGCATTATCTTTGTGTGAGTTATGCTGGTAACTGTTTTGTAATACAACCATAAAAGAAAGTTAAAGAAGCTCTGAATCTGTAATACATGCAATCCAAGTGTGGATACTGCCAACTACTGCAACACAACAATTTGGCTTCTTTATTTTACCTCGTCAAGTAAAAGAAATGCACGGGTTAAACTGATAAACTCTACTTATTTTCTTTTCATGCTGGCTTACTGTCACATTGTTAATGATATGATAAAGTAAGTGACCTGTGCTTCACCTCGTGTGACCAGTAAAATGTCACGCACACCAAACTTTCT